GGTTAATTAAAGAATACTTTAGTTAGTACTGCAATAATTTTCTCAGGAAACCTTTATGTATTTGGTCCATGCTTACCTGTTCATTCAACAAATGTGACGACCTTGTTGGGTGCACAGTGACACTGATTAAATTGTCTTTATGACTGGGTTTGTTAACTGAGAGTATTATATAGTGTAGAGTTACTGTTGGCCATGGTAGCTATCAAACTAGATATTTGGGAGACAAAATAATGGTAGTATCTATCTCTAGAAATATTGAGTAGCATCTAGTATGTTCTGCGTGGAGTATGGTTATGAACTATTTGATTACTACATTATATTGCCTAAATTAAGTTTAAGATCAGTTTCTATTTTTGAGCACAGAATTCTTTACTTTTGTTATGGAAACATACATATTAATCCTTCAGAAAGTTGGCTATGGTGGTTGTGTTTCTATGGTTTTTTGGATGTTTTTTTTTTTTTCATTACAATAACTAACCAATTATTTACTGTGCAAGCATTTGTGATGAAATAATAGTCAACTGAAATCAAAAAATATTAAGAAATGGTCTTTGAACTAATGGTCGTGTATGTTGTCTGTTTTTAGGTTAGCAATAGATCCAGAAGTTACCCGTGTGCTTGGTGCGGTAAATGTTTTGGAACAAGTTTCAATTTGAATCGTCATGTGAAAGGTTTACATCTATACCAGCGATTCACCTGTCCAATTTGTGAGAAAAGTTTTACCCAAAAAGGAGATTTAATGACTCATTTAAAAAAGAAGCATATTGAATATGTTGTGGCTAGCTAGAGACTTATAGCATTTATAATTGTTTTATAAAGTGTATTAACGCATGAACAATTGTTTAATTGTGGTCCAGGTTGAATGATTGATGTAAAAGTTACTGAATAAAAAAATTGTTTTTATAAAAAAAAACTGATAATTTTTGTACATCATGGCCATTTGAGAGTGCAAACCGAAACATTTGGCATCTCCACTAGGGAAGGATGTGCCGTACTGTTATAGAGTAGAATTTATGTCCCAAGTGGTAGCTGGTTTTAGACTCAAATTGTGTGTTGAGGTCTCTTGTCCTTAAAACAGTTTATCCCAGTATTCTAGTCTACCCAACTGTAAATGGGTATCAGTAGGATGATGTATGCAGTTTCACAAAAAAAACCAAAAACACTCCAAACTATTGTGCTATTTGGACAGCATTAGTTAAGTTCCTGTAATGTTTAAAGATGTAAAGGGAGGTAATCAGGGGTAAAGGGAGGTAATCAGGTCTTACCTGTAGACCTAGAGATCAGGGTAGTCATTGGATTGTACTTTGAACATAACCCTCAGTGGTGTTTTATTAAGTGCATTGTAAATATGCACATTATTACATTTGAATCAGTCAGTTGAAGTGCTGTCAAAATTTTAAGAGAAAGATCTGACCTAGGGTGACTAACAAAATCCTTAAATATTTCAATAAAACTGAATGATGCATGTTCTTTGCTGCCATCTTCATAATAATCTTCTGTTTTATTGCTAACTGCTACGACTTTTTGTTTTCCAATTGTAGGTGCACTTTGATGTTTTATCAGGTTCTTGTTGTCAGTGGTGTGGAAGGGTTTTTAAATGGAAAAAGGACCTGGCCCGACACATTGATGGAAAACATTTAAATATCAAAGTTCAATGTCCGGTTTGTTTAAAGTTGTACACACGAACTGACAACTTGCGAGATCATATTCGGAAAATGCACAAAGCTGTCAGACCTGAAGATGTTCTTCAATGAATTAGTTAATCATTTTAAAATAAAACTGCCTCTTTTTGCTTGTAGGCTGTGAGAGGATGTGTCTTTTGTGAAGTGTGTGGGAAAAGTTTCAGATGGGTACAGAATCTCAAAAGACATCATCAAGTGGTTCACACAAACAATCGTTATTCTTGTCCATTTTGTGGAAAAATTTTGAAAAGAAAGGATTACCTTAAAGACCATATCTTTAAGTTCCATAAAGATGGAAGACTAGGAGACCTGTAGCAAAATTAGTTTATGAAAAATGTGCTGTGTTTTTGTAAACAAACGATGATCGCTTTCTTGCGTGTGTTCTTAAAAAGAGTGACTAGAACATACACATTGTCATGTTCCACAGAAAACATTAGTCCCATTGTGCCATATTAACAGATCTGAATAACCATTTGGGTTGAACCTATCAAAATGTAGGGTATTGCTGATTTCGTGTTGTACATGTATTAAAAATATCATTGAAAACACAGAAAAAATACATGATTGACATTATCTTTTTAAATTTTTAACTTTGTGCCGAACATTTATTAAAATATCCTTAAAAACACAGATAAAAGACCAGATATACATGTATTAAAAATATCATTAAAACACAGAAATAAATAAATCTGTGTAGGACAAATGACTGGCACCAGATTGCCTGATAAACATGAAATTTTACGTTGTGACAGCTGCCTTATTGCCAGGCTTGAATATTGTGTGTTACACTTTTTATTTTCTCCATTTTTAGGTCCATTCTGATGGTTTGTTCAATTCATGTTGTCGGTATTGTGGAAAAGTTTTTAAATGGAAAAAGCACCTTGGCCGACATATTGATGAAAAACATCTAAATATCAAAGTTCAGTGCCCAATTTGTTTAAGACTTTTTACTAGAAATGACAGCCTAAAAGATCATATTCGAAGAGTACACAAAGAAAATCCCAGTGATATTCTCAGATATTAATAGCAGGATTGGTATTGTAACCTTGTTGATTTGCGATAGATGTGACATACTGATTCTACAGATACATGTAACAGTTGAAAGAATCAACATTATGCTTACAAATATGGCAAGTCAAAATATTTTAAATTGTATTGATTTTTAATAGACGTGGAAAACTGGTGCGACGTGTAACAATTGAATGAATCAACAGTGTGCTAAACAATTTGGCAAGTCTAGAAACAGTTGTAAATCCAAGCGATGTCCTCTGATATTAACAGGATATTGTAAACCTTGTTGATTTGCAATAGATGTGGCACACAGGTTTGACCGTTGAGACTAGTTGAAACTATTTTATCCTTATGTCAGATCATGAGAATCCTCTAACAGGGTTCAAGACATTTTGTTTGTATTGTTATGCTGTACCCTGTTTCATCACAAGTGTAATAACCAATAAATAAACAAGTTAAATGTGTTACCTATACATACTAATAGTGTTACTGTTGTATTGTTGTTATTATTAAATGCTTAGGAGGTGCAATCTCATTGTTCTTCTGGGGTTTTCTATGCATTTCCCTCTTGTTAGACAGTGTCTAGTCGTTCGGGTGGTACAGAAAACTGTGGTCCTGTGTACAAAAACCCTTGACAGTTGGAATTGATGAAGATAGGGTGGAAACAATGCTGTCCAAGCAAAATTTCCCTTGTGGCACATGAACATGTAGGCATGGCATATATGCCTATCATTTATTAGTCTGGTTTGTGCAGAAAAGTAAGACGTTAAGCCTCATTTTATTTCTTATACAAAAATCTTCAGATGTCACTACAAACATACACATACAGATTTTAAAAGTTGAAAAAAAAAGATACACAATTATTAATAATAATAATTAGATAACATTTGTCAAAACAGATAAAATAAATGGGATTTTAAATTTAAATTGAAAAAAGATCCAGTATCACTTTGTAGAGTTAGAAGTCAGAGCTTACATGTATTCCATGAAACAAGGGAGTCTTAAATTCTTAAAAGAACGAATTTTTATCGTATGAACTCAGTTGTGCTTTGGTTGATGACACAATATCCCATCTGGTAAAGTTGTCTAGGTAGATGGGTGGTTAGGTGGTGAAAGTTCCTAAAAAAATTAAATGTTGCCTGAAAAATGCAAATTTGAACCATTGATGAAAACTAATAAATTTTTTATGTGGATAGTGTGACAAGTTTTCAAAATGATAATGACAATCAAGTGTTAAATTGGTTCTACATTTATTTGTAGGCTTCATTGTGTATCAATGAAGTTGGCTGTGCTTAATTTTTGTTTCTTTTCAAACCTTTTACGCTCCATGTACAACTTTGATGGTACCATATGCCTTTAGAAGATTTTATTAGAAGAAGAAATGTTACCTGAGAGTTTTTATTCTGCTTTGATTTTTTCAAAGCTGTTGATATTTGGGGTCAAATTAGTTTTTTTTTTATATTGTGTCACTTGAAATGGTTATATTTTCTATTTCTGTAAAATTTTATTTTTCATTTGTAGGTTCAGATTGGGGTATTATCTGATCTATCGTGTCGGTGGTGTGGAAAAGTTTTTAAATGGAAAGGTCATCTTGTCAGACATATTGAAATCGCTCATCTAAACCACAGAGTTCAGTGTCCTATTTGTAAAAAGCTTTATACTCGAACTGACAGTCTACAAGACCATATTAGGAGAATTCATGCAATATATAATCCAAAAGAAATTCTTTAGACTTTTTAGTGTGAATTGCTTTATGAGTTAGTTTAGATAGTGAGTGACAACTTTTCTGTGAAATGAAGATGTAATAAATAAGTAAACATATGTTTTGTGAACAAAAACTCCTCTCTAAAGCATGATATCTAGATAATTTGACTTAACATCACCAATTTTATTTTCCATTTATAGGTTCAGATTGATGTTATGTCCGATTTGTCTTGTCAGTGGTGTGGAAAAGTTTTCAAATGGAAAAATCATCTGATCAGGCATATTGAAGTGACCCATCTGAATCGTCGGGTTCAGTGTCCGATTTGTTTAAAACTCTTTACACGAAGTTACAGCTTGCAAGATCATTTGCGGAAAATTCATCTTATAGAAAACCCTAAGGAAATCATGAAAGAGATCAGTTAATCTTGTTTTGTGTGTGTTTACTACTGTGTTTTCATTGTTTGGGAAGACCTCACGGGGAGGAATCAAAGGCAAAAAGCATCCATTTTATGAACATTGCTTTTATACCCCAAAACCCTGCCCTTTTAGCATGATATGAAACATTATTCTCTTTACTTCAAACGTTTTATTTTCCATTTGTAGGTTCACTTTGATGATATGTCTGCTTTAACGTGTGAGTGGTGTGGAAAGGTTTTTAAATGGAAAAGACATCTGGCTCGGCATATTGACGCAACTCATCTAAATATCAAATTTCAGTGCCCCGTTTGTTTAAAGTTCTATACAAGAACGGACAGTTTGCACGATCACATGAGGAGAATGCACAAAATAGATAACCCTAAAGAAATTCTACAGTTAGTTAAATTTCAGAATCTGCAAAATTCAACCATCCCACCAGAATCAAACCCTGAACTGGAACCTGAAAACAATTAGTTTTTGTACAGTGTTTTGTACTGATTTTTTAGCTGAAGAGAATTTATTCTCACACATTGTTTATGTGTTTTAACAAGGATTCAGTGTGTTATTATGATTGTGATTAGGAAAAACAGGGTATTTGTTTGTGTGGCCAATTGGTCTAATGTGGTGCACTGCAGTTCATATAGATCAGTCATAGAATGGTGAATTCAAACTACATTCTTGAATGTGTTGGCCAGCAGTTGTGGACTCGTCCACAGCCAAAATTATAACATTGATTTCTGTGACATTTTCTCACCTTAAGACTGACTAAATTTTCTTAATAAAACTCCATATCAGGGTATGAAATAAGCCTCTTATATGGCAACCTCAAAATAGGTTACGCTAATCTGCATCAAATTTGAACTGGTAACCTATAGGTTACGATGCCATATTTGTTTAGAGCCGACCCTCGAATTAGCCTAGGGGGATTTGGGGCCAATTAAAAGATTAGCCAGCTACCCCTAAGCTTATTAAATCAGCAGGGCCCATATCCCTAAGCGAATTAGTGGATTATTGTTAATCCTAAAACTCTCTACAAAATTGCAAATAACTAAAAAAAAAAAAATTTTTATACAAAAATGTACAGATTGTCGTGTTCTTTCCAATGATATAAAATTCAATTGTACAAACTAACAATTACCGGTATATTACTATAAATAATATTGAAAAGTCAGTTCCACTAAAATTATGACTTTTCTCTGTCATAATAAACGTGAACATGTATCTCCTAAGATTTTATTTTAAAAAAAAGAACAGTGTTCAAAGTAAATATAAATATATAACTTTTAGAGAGACATATCGCCCCAAATGACCGTCACTTCATCGCTATGTGACATTTCTGCCTTTGTTGGATATATGGTGGGAATTGTCGTCTTCTTTGCTTTATTGCATCGAAAATAAAAATATATAGTTGAAATCTTCGGCAATGTAATATTCCTCTATGTAGCTTGTATTAAATCCTAAAAGTTTTGATTCAATTTAGCTTTCCAAACTCTAGAATTATTATCCGTAAGTTTTGTGGTATCGTCTGTCTGGAAACGTATCCAAGATATGGCGGTCGACACGCTTGATCTCGGCTACTTCGCATCATTCATAACGTCCCCCAAAAATAACAAATAGTTGATTTCTTCGACATTATCATGTTCTACGATATGCCTGGCAGTAAATCATAAAAAAATCTGATTCCATTTCACTTTCCATGTCATAAAATTATTAGCCGTGAGTGACAAAGTGAAAATATTGGAATAATGCCAAAGTCATTGACACGGTGTGAATTTTCACCTCTGACCTATTACGTAAATACCGGAAGATCCATTGTTGAAAAGTATGTTTTTTATTTGATAATTTGCGAATATAACATTCCTTTTCATTGGGTGTTTTATTTTTATTACTCAATCACCATTAATTTAAGAAATAAAAACAATAGAAATCAGTTGATTGATCTGGCTCTTTCGTTCGCTAAATAGGCTAATGAGTATGACGTTGCCAGGTATGATGGGTCTGCGAGTTGATTTGCTACCGCCAAAATGACAGGTGCGAACTTAACGATCTTTCAGGCATTTATTTATAATTGTAAAATGTTTTAATGTAGTACTAGTAGTGGAGGGAATATTTTAACTGAAACCTTTAGTTTATAAATTATAGCTCGGTGGTCGAGAACGGAAGTCCGTTCGCGTGTTTCCAGGTCATGGTAACCGATGCGTAACCTGAACGACCGTTCGCGTGTTATTTCGTACCCTGCATATGGACATGGGACACCAAACAGGTGTCATATGAGTGATACCTGATCAAACTTAGTATAAAACATATCTTACCCTTTCCAACTTAAAGCAAAAATAAGCCAGTAATTATGATATAATTAAAGATACATTATGGGAGATAAGATAAAGAGATGGCAGTTCTCGCTATAATAGTTAAAAACTAGATAGTGTAAAGGTAATTTGCTGAAAATTTCAGTCAAATTGATCCACTATGAGCCGAGAAAGAAGCCGGTGAAATTTTTACATAGTCTCTGTTATCATTACTAAAATCATTAATATAAATAGCATAGTCTCGATTATCCACTTTTTCTGATTTAATTATCTTTTGCCGTTAGCGGCATATAGGAATCTAATCCAGCCTACATCGAAGGCTAGCCTTGACATCGAGAGTTTATTATGGTCTGGATAAGTTAATTAATGTCTAATTGATAATTTAGATAACATTTCAGGCCTAAAGAAAGACTTGTAATAAGCAGATTTTGCTCTTGCTTAATGCATGTTTAAGATTAAATTTTACTTCTTTGAACACCTCAGTTGGGCAGGATAAGGACTGATTCAGTAACTTTCTATTGATTTATCATCTTATACAAAACATTAGTTGGGGGCCCTGAAATAGTTATTTCTAAAAATAGCACTTCGTAGAATTAACTAGCAGTTGACCCGGCATAGCATGGGTATAACTGTGAATCAGAAGTAGCATAACTCTGAAACTGGAGATACCCCTAAACACCAAATATCAACCTCAGGACAGCTCAAGTGCAGCTGCCAACCCTGAACAGAGAAACAAACAAATGACAGTCACAATTACATATTAGAATAGATAAATGTCACTTTAAGGCACAGGTGCAACTAAAATCACTATTCCCTGGCCAGTTCATGATTTCACACCAAAGTTTCAGTTAAGACATAATCCCATTTAGAACTAACTTCAACACTTTTCCACTCCTGGGTTAGACTATTAATATCTAATTCTCTAGTCACTTAAACAAAGCTAACAATATTCTATGTGAAAAGCCAATTTAGTGTGCTTGTTGCTAGGTTGAACTGCCCCATATGACATAACAGTTTGGTCATTCCATTAGTCACAAGGGTTAACTTCTGCATCGTACATCGAACTAGCAGTTCCTTAATTGTATGGATACATTATTCACCACCTATATTTATATGTAAGCTTTAGGTATATTTAGTTCACTTCAACAGGCAGGCGGGAAAACCACCATAGCTTTATATTTCTATTCAACATAAATTTGAATTTTAAAATAGCTAGTTTTCAATAAAACTGTTCAGTCAACAGGCACCCACGAATACATTCACTTGATTTGATATATATACATGTATATATGTTTGTTTGAAATCTCTGTGTATATTGTGGCCTGTCTTGTCCATGGGTTTATATATTGTGTGATTGTTTATATGTTTTGCTGTCCTCCGGAGTCCTATACATGTACTTACTATTGTGCTACAAAGTATTATTTTTAATTTTGAAATAGCAAGTTTACATTAAATTTGGTCAGTTAAATTGGTTGCAAGATATAATTTTGAAGTTGAAAATAGCAAGTTTACAATAAATCTGGTCAGTCAGTCAACCAGTCAGTTACTTTGGTTAGAAGATATTTTAGTGCACAGCATTAATTTGTTTTAAGAATTCTGTGTATTTTTTGGTAAATATACGTGAAATACTTTACTTCATTTTGTGTGTGTATCCTTAAAGGACAATGTTAGTACTGTGCTGTTAAACGACAATGGTGGTATCTTTAATGAATTTGATTTCAAGAAATGTTAGTTTGTCTTTTTGTTGGAAGCTGAAAGAAAATTAAATGACTTATTAGTTGTAGTTGCTTGAAGGGCAGTGTTATTTAGTTCTCTTAAATGGCAGTATTAGTATCCTTAGAGATTTTGATCTCAAGAGATATTTGTTTGCTTTCTCAGATTTAAATTACTTATTCGCAGTAGTAGGACAACAATCTTGGTACATGTATCCTTTTATTTTATGATCAGTAGTGGAATACCGCGTTTTATCAGTGAAATAAAAGTGTTATTCCACTGGCTAGCAGTAGTCCATGTTGTTTTTACCTAAAATGATTGTAAAATCATAAAATAAATAGAACATTTGTCGTTTTAGAGTGAATAACATATTTTATTTCATTGAGAAGCAAGAAAACGTTCATATTTTCACTCATGCTACGCATTCGTGAAAATATAAGTTTTCTTGCTTCTCGATGAAATAAAATATGTTATTCACTCTAAAACGACAAATATCCTCTATATATTGGTTACCAAGAAATGTTTGTTTGCTTTCTGTTAAAAGCTGAATGAAATATAAATGACTTACTAGCAGTAGCTACTTAAAGGACAATTTGGTGTCCATGAAGATTTTTAAAGAATTAGTTGTTTCCTTTCTATAGGAAGCTGAGTGAAATTTAAATGACTTATAAACAGTAGTTACAGAACTTAAAGGACAATTTTGGTGCCCACCAAGTTTACGTATGTGATAGAATTAGTTCAACAAATTCCAAATATAATTTTAACAGAAATCTTTGCTACAATTGGTTAATTACATGTAAGGGTATTGCATTTGTAATACAAATTTGTTAAGTTGAAATGGGACAGTAGGCAGACTAAGTTTTATTGGAAAGGAACGCCATAAAAGAAATATTTAGGGCTTCCTTGTAAATATTTTTAAATTGATTTTATGTACCAGATATTGTGTATACCTTATTGTATAAGACATTTTAAAAAAAATAATAATTTTTATATTGTATGCTATATGATTTCATTATTGAATAAAGTTATTTTAGAGTTGTGAATTGTGTCCTATTTTCGTTTTAGGTTGAGGATGTTTGTACTTGCAGTGAATGTGGTAAAACTTTCTGCTATAAAAGCAGTTTGTCGAGGCACATAAGAGTTTACCACAAGCGATATAGCCTTTCCTGTCCATTATGTTACAGACAGCTTTCCAGAAAGGAATATCTAAGGCGTCATATGAAAACTGTGCATAATTTTGTACCATAAAACACATTTCAAACCCAATACTTGTTTGTTCAGGAGTTTAAGGTTGGGGAAACCCTCCCCCCAAAAACCCCAAACATTAGCTCTTTTGTTCACATCTGTCCATTTATATTTGTAGGTACATGTGTCAAAGCCTGGTCACCAAGTACAATTTGATTGTAGGTTTTGTGAAAAAACATTTCTGTGGAAAAGTGCCTTAGTCCGTCATGTTAGAGGAACTCATTTGAACCAGAGGGTTGCTTGCCATATCTGTAACGCCATTCTAAAACCAGAATGTTTACGAGTTCATATGAAGAGAAAGCATGCTAATCTAGGTGTCTAGTATATTTAGTGGTGCTAAAACCAAATGTTTACGAGAGGAAACTAATCTAGGTGTCAAGTCTAGCAGAGGTGTGTGGTGCTAAAAGAAAACAAATTGTGTTGCAGAGCATTTACAATAAACCCAGGTTTGGACAAAATCCAGCAGTATAACAACTATCTACTCTAGTGTTAATCTTTAACTGTAACTTACTGGAAACATCTGTTCAGCAACAGTTTTCGATATCATTTGCCCGCCACTTGTTTACAAGAATTTCAACTTTGTGATTTTATCAAATCTTTTGAAACGAGGATGTGTTATCAGGTTGATTTTGAAGAGGTTTGAGATCTTTCTGAACTCAACTTGAGTAACTTTTCTGAGTAGTGAATAGGACTGTTAACATCTGAAAACTACAGACAACCCATCCATACAATCAACATACCATTTTTCTCGAGTTAGTCTGCTTTCTTTACCGTTTGTCCATTTATATTTGTAGGTTTCAAAGTCCGGAGATCAAGAACAATTCGATTGTAAGCTATGTGCTAAAACGTTTCTGTGGAAAAGTGCTTTGGTTCGTCATATCAGAGGAACTCATTTAAATCACAGAGCTGAGTGTCAGATTTGTAAAGCTGTTCTGAAACCAGAGAATTTAAGAGTTCACATGAAAAGAAAACATTTAGGAGTTTAGTCAGTCTCCACTAAATTGTGTTTAAAGTGACTCCTGAAAGTTGATACCATGAAATTAAAATTCCAAAGAATTTAACCATAATGTCAATAAATACAGCTAGATTTATAGTTTTTATGCATAAAAAGGCTTGAATATTAAAGTCATTCTTTTAAATAGAATTTTGGACAAATCTGAGATAAATATTAAAGTGAATTTGAATGGAAACCAGTGAGATACATAACATAATCCACCTTCATTAGTACATGTACATAAAAATCACTATACACATCCATGTTAAAGGAGCTAAACCTCTCACTCAATAATAATATCCCTAATATTCAAAAGTAAAAACATGAATTAGAATTCAATTTTGGTCCATTTTAATCAATATTGATGTTATCTTACCTTGAAAGTATAGGATCTTCATAAGAACTATGTAAATAATAATCACTGACAATATTTCCATTTTAAAATTGCTGTAAGTGTAGATTATAATACACAACTGTTACTTGTTTATGAATTGCTATTTTGATATACTGCGTACTATATTTGTCACAACTTTTTTTTTTTCTCTCCCAAATAGGATGAAAATTAAAAGTGCCCATCTTTAAGTTTTTTTGTATTTTTTTTATCTTTTAGATACTCTTGGAAACTGATCTTGCTTCTTGCCATGTCTGTCAGAAAAGTTTTGCGACAAGAGGAAGCTTGACCAGGCACATCAGAGGAACACATCTCAAATTAAGAATTAATTGTCCGTTCTGTAATAAATCCTACACTCAAAGGGGCCACTTAACTCAACATATTCGAATATATCATAAACAGAATGTTAAGGATCAAAGGTGATCAGTGTTCTTCAAACCCAAAAGAGACATGGCAGAATCTGAAATTTTATGCCTTAGAGCCAATTCTATGTTGAAACTTTATAGATAAATTAAAATGAACAGATTCCTTTTACAAGTAATATTATTGTTAGGGCTGTCAAAATCATTGATATAATGTAATGAGAGTTTTTCCCAATATGTATCACAGTAGGAAGTCTGGTGTATCAATATTTTAACAATGTTTTTAAATAGATTGTTTGATTTTTAACACTTTTTTTTATTCTTGTAAACAATTGATGGCATAATAATAAATGAATTTTGTACATGTACAATATTGATGATATAGTTTTGCTGTAATATTAGTTTTAATTTCATATTTTACAACAACATTCAAGATTCCAATTCCAAATTTTTTGTTAAAAGTGTACAAATATGGGCAAAATTCTTCTTTACTGTTAGTTGATTTTATAAAGATAAAATATTCAGTCAGGAAATGGATTTCATAACATACTGCAATATATATTACAATACACCCATGCATTACTATTTCTGGCTGCAATACACAGCCCTTGTTATTGTTGTTCTCTTTACTTAAATGCTCTTAAACGAGTTTCTAATAAATACCTATTTATCTGTGTTTTAGGATGGCTCGAGATTTTTCTGTGGTATTTGTGGAAGTGGCTTCACAGTTAGAGGTAGTCTAAAGAGACACATACAAGGACAGCATCTAAATATTCGCATGAAATGTCCTCATTGTGATCGTACGTTTACACAGAAAGGAAACATGGAATCGCACATACTTAGTATTCATACAAAAAAAAGCCTCAATCCCCTATAGAATTATTAATAGTATACTGGTAGACAAATGACATACAGTTGCATGTCTGAGAGTGGTTCCATCGTTGTGAGAACAAAAGTATAGGGGAGCTACAGGTGCATGCTTGAGAATGAGTCCATGAGTTCATCTCTGTTCTAGTTATTGTAAATTTTTCCTATTTTGCAGGGAATGAAGGAACGTCGAGGTCCATTTGAGTGTCAGTGGTGTGGTAATATATATAACGGTCAGGGAAATTTAAATGTACATATTAAAGCCAAACACATGATGCTATCAGCTGTCTGCCCATTTTGTTATAAAGGTTTTACTCAAAAAGGGAATCTCAGAAGGCACTTAATAGCAAAGCATGGTCAAACTACAAAATATTTTCGAAAATAGGTCTTTTCAAATCCACTAGACACTGCAAAAACTGATATCGTTCATTTATGAAATATGAACACACAACTTTTGACCAATAGAAAATTCTGCCACAAACAGATGTAAGTCGTCATATGTTTACTAGTCTGTTAAAATTGTAATCAGACAATAGTCAATAAGTACGTAGGTGTTATTTGGTAGTCATTAAGTAGATGTTATTTCACTATGTGTGGGTATTAGAAATAGTCATGCTTTCATACAAGATGTGGCATCATCTCTTACAGTTACACACAGACTGTTTCTGACCACTTTCCATACATACTAAACACTATGGCAGAAGTGTTCATTAGTAAAAGACCTCAGTTCATAAGTGAACAGTTTCAGTTTACAGTGAGGGTTATGCTGTGGCACTGGATATTTTTGAAATTGTTTTAAAAAAGTTTCCTCTGTTTCACAGAGGTTTATAGTATTTATGTTTAAAGTGTAAAAAAGTTGTATTTGATTTCTGTATTTTTAAAAAATTAAAATAAAGTTATATTCTGCTTTAAAGTAGCGATATTGTTATTCTGTTATGAAAAACGGTGTCTTTGATTGGAGTTACAACATACTATATTATGGTCATCAACAAATTTATTGACTGTTAAAAACCTCCATATTTCTCGAATACATTGTTTGAAAACTTTATTTTTGAAATTGGTTAGCTGGCTACCTCAAAATGACTTTTGTTTACAGTAAACTACATTATTGAGAAATAAACAATGGGCATTATTTTAATAGATTGAAAGTACTGGAGCTTAAATTGTTTTTAATTTCTAATGCATAATCAATTAGTATGAGTAAAGGGTGATTAATGGGAACAAATTATTCTGTTTTGCATAAAATTATTGCTTTTGTGACAGACAATGTCCAGTGCATTGCTGGTTCACTAACCTGGAGTTCCTGGATTTGATCCCTGATTTGGTCGAGAAAGTTCCGTGGAATTCTCTGGTTTCTGGATATTTGGATGAGTCGAAAAACATAGATCCAACCCTTTACTATTTGCCATACATACAACTAAAAGAATCCTTGACATTTGGAATTGGACACAAAGTAGGCACAAATACTGCTGTCCAGGCACAATTTCCCTGAAAGCACACTTGATGGTGTGTACCTGTCTTCATTATCCCATTTGGTGTAGAAAAAGTAGAACATTATACCACATTCCACTTCATTTTAATTTTTCAAATAGCTGAAATCTATCAATTTACAAAAGAAATGTCGGGATCAATGTTGATTACATCATGATACCATGGTGAAGGCCCCAAAAAAGTAGAGAAAGGAGAATATTTTATGTTAACATGAATAATCATGACCTTTGAATATATGAATAGTAATGAGATGTGTGTGTGTGCGCAGCCGTAGGTCTAGTTGTCATGGTAAAACGTGCACAAGTCTTCTGTTCATCGAAGTGAGAACATGATATTGTTATGGTCTAATGGAAGTGTGAATAAAATACCATTGAATTTAATATATACATGTACATGTAGTGTGGTCAATTAACATCTTATATCAAGGACAATACACCAGATTGTGAGCTTTTTGAACCAAGAACTGGTTGCATACACTTTTTTATCTTCTTGTTCTGCACTTGGAAAAAAACCCCACATTAAGTCTAGCTCACAATTCCATGATGGCTGCGATGACATCGAGCTTAGTTCCTGTTTTATATAGTACTCTTGTTTTGTTTTTAAATGATTGCTTAGAGGACTTTCATTTTAGGATACTGCAGAAAACATAGACCCTTATTCTGATTGTTTCTTTTTTAGGATGCAGCTGA